AGCGACAAGTCAGGATGGGGCATGAAAGAAAGCTTAAGCTTAGTGAAACGGTACCAAACTCGACAACATGTTGTGCTTTATAATGGTTCGTTCTTTTTTTAAAAAAATAATGAGTTATATTTTTCATCAGATGAGCTTGGCTCTGGAGTGAGAAAGACCTGGGTTTACACCCCTGCTCTGCTGTCTTCAAGCCGTGTGACGCCACAATTTAACTTTGCAGAGCTTCTATTTCCCGATTTCTAAAATAGGTGATACTAAATCCACTTCACAGGGCTGTTGTGAGAATCAAATGAAAGTGCAGATATAAAATCACCCTGGGGATGTTATTCCCTAAATCTGTGTCTGGATCTGAGCTGCCATTCCATCCCCCTTTGAGCAATGACATGAAGGAGCTCCTAGTATTTATTTCAAGCCTACGTAGTAACACACCACTGCCACCGAGAGACACCATCTCCAAATTACTATAGGTTTCTTTCTTCTTTTCTTAACTCAGTTTTTTAAAAGTTTTCTTGGCACATAATCCACACATTCTACAATTCAGTAGTTCCATCATCTTAAAAAGAGTTAAAAATCATCACTACAATCACAATATTAAAAATCATCACCACAATCAGGTTCAGGCATTTCTTCTTTCTTGTACTCCTTGTTATTAGCTCCCCATTCCCTCCAACCTCCCCTTGCACACCCCCAAGCAACCATTAATCCAGTTACTGTCTCTACAGATTTACTTATCCTGGATTTCATGTACAGGAAAAAATTAATGAAACAGAGAGAAACCTCAATCAATAAATAAAGCAGAAAATATTAAAAACTAGAACAAATGTAAAAGGGGTCAAAAGGGAGATCAAATCATATGGTATTAAATTTTAACCTAACTGCAATCTGCAGTCATCCACTTTCCAACACGCTCTGCTTGATAGCAAGGCCACTCACATCTCTGGTCTATGATCAAAAGAGAATCACTGGAGGCTTAATTTATATGTATTTCCCCTCCACGTTTTTTTAAAGCTATAACAACTAATAAATGGGTAAACATGGAGAGAAAATGATAAGGTATTACATTTTAGCCTAACTACGCCTGCCATCATCAACTTTACAATGCTCTCTGTCTGATAACAGGCTTGTTCACATTCCTTGACTCTGGTCAGAGGAGATTCACTGGAGGCTTAATCCATGTAATTAACTGGAGTTTGGGTTTCCTACAAATGTCATCTACAGTCTTCAATTTATGCTATGAAACCATTCCCTCCTTAAGATTTGGATTTTACTATTTACAATCCTTAGGAAAAGTGGTAGTATAGTGGTTATGTGTTGATTTGCGATCCGCATGGTTGGCAGTTTGAAACCACCAGCAGCTCCGAGGGAGAAAAACTGGGTTTCCTGGCTTTCTCCACTCATAAATATTTACCAGTCTCAGAAACCCACAGGGGTTGCTGTGGGTCAGCACTGACTATGTGGCCATGTGGTTTGAGTTTTGTCTGTTTGTTTGTTTGTTTACAATCCTTTGATCACACAGGCTGGTGTGTTTCCTCCATGTGGACATAATTAATGCCTCGCTTAAATAGTTGCTTGTTTGAAGACCAGTCTTTATGTTCCCAGATGCTTATTTTTCTGAGAGCCGGGTACCATCTGGTTTCTTTATCACACTTTGCTACAGCCCTCCATTTCTCTAGTGGTTTTTATGAGGGTGAGCATCAAATAGGGCCTGTCATAACAACTCATTGTTCTTAGATTGGGGTTAGAATGAAGTGTGAGCCCAAATTTCCATTCATATATCTATGGTTTATTTACGTCTCTGATTCACTCTAGAGGCATTATTATTATGTAATGATAGGGAACATTATCAGCCATCCCCCTGGGGTATAAGGTAATTCCAGATGGTGTCATCAATGTAGGCAATGGTCTAGAATTTACAACACTGTTGAGAAAAGGAAATTAAACAAGTATAGGCCAGCTATAAATCACAATACATGGATTGTTGACTTGTACAGATTAAGCTCTTAAGAAACTCGATCCTATTTACACAAACAGTGGCAGTTGGTGATAGGGAAACACTTGCAATAACACAAATTCACCAAGGCAGAACCATGCCCACCAGATTGCCCGTCCAACTAAGGCAAAGAGGACATTAATATAGGTAAATGCTAAGATTGCCGAGTTGCCAATGATGAGGTCACAAGGATCTTATGAGAGGCTGGGACCAAAGGTTAGCTACTGTTCCCTGCTATCCCCTCCACACTCATTACTGATAACTTTCTTTCGATTAGTTTTATTAAGAGACTAAGTCCCAAAGAGAGCGGTGAGACACTACACCCCAAGAACAAAGATCCCTATCCAGCTTATGATTTTGTGTATACATATATGTGTTTATACATATATATGTCCCATTAGGAATATACATGTTATATTTATGTACATATAAACAAACAAAACACCCTCACTGACATCAAGTCAGTATGAACTCATAGCGACCCCCTGTGGGGTTCCAAGGCTGTAAGTGTTTCCGGGAGTAGAAAGCCCAGTGTTTCTCCCACTGAGCTGCTGCTGGTTTCAAGCTGCCAACCATGTGGATCAAAGCCCCAGGCACGGAACCACGACCACCAGGGATCCTTGAAGGGCTAAATACTTATGTTAAAATATCCAGCATAGTAGGCTCCTACAGGGCTTCCAGACCCCTTGAAAATAACTTCAGTTTGGTTTGGTTTGTTTTTGTGGTGGTGCTGTTGGTTAGTGGTTCAAAACCACTACCGACTCCACAGGAGAAAGATGAGGCTATCTGGTGCCATAAGGATGTCTAGCCCTGAAACCCTATGTAGGGTCACAAGGAACTAAAATCGATTGGGTGGCAGTAAGTTTGGTTTTTGTTTTATTGGTTTCAGACTGTAGGAAGTTTAGGAATTCGTGGGTGCTAAGAACGGATACACTGGGTGTCGACCATTTGGCAGTGAGAAGGTAACTAAACAGAAGCATAGAGGAGCCTAAAGCGGTGCTCATTTTCTCAGTTTATCATTTACCTTCTTGCCAAATATGTTTTCATCTGCCTTCAAGTTAATCTCTTCAAAACTTGACATAGACAGTCTCTTACCTTTTAACCTTCCTTAAAACTATCATTTGTAGCTAAATGTCATCTTTCATGGCCCCTTCCCTTTCTTAATTCCTATTGCATTTGCTGTTATCACATATTATGATTGATCCTAGTCCGATTGCTTCATACCTGGGGGATAACTCACATCTCTTTTAGCCTTGCTGGTTCCTCTACTACTCATATCTGTAGATATCTGCTAAGGTTCTGGCTTTGGCCCTCTGCTCTCGCAAGCAGTTCACCAATTAAGCTGACTCACAAAGCTTAACCTTTCTATTTTGTACTACCTACAGGACATCTTCAAAAGTCCAGGTGGCGTAGTGGCTACACATTGGACTTTGAACTTAAAGGTCACTATTTCAAAACCACTAGCTGCTCTTTGGGAGAAAGATGAGGCTTTCTACTCTTGTAAAGAGTTACAGTCTTAGAAACCCACAGGGCAAGTTCTTCCCTGTCCTGTAGGGTCATCATGAGTTGAAATCAACTCAGTGGCAGTGAGTTTTTGTTTTGTTTTGTTTTTAAAAAGGACTTCTTCACCAAACCAATTTGCATTTTGGGCCTAGTCTTTCTGAGAGGGGTCTTAAAATTCTCCCATATATCCAAACTAGATTCTTTCGGATATTTGTTTATTTCTTAGCCCCTTGGCACATCAAATCTGCACCATGTCTTTCTTTGAAACATCTCTGGAGTTTATCCTTATTCTCTCTTTCTTTGCCACTGCCCTCCATCATCTCACCAAGAAACCAAACTCACTGTCAGAGAAGCAATTCAGACTCATACCAACCCTATAGGACAGGGCAGAGCTGCCCCTGTGGGTTTTCCAAACTATAACTCTTGAAGGGATTAGAGAATCTTCTATTTCTCCCCTGGAGTGGTTGGTGCTTTTGGTCTGCCATTCTTCTAGTTAGCAACCCCATGATGCCACCAGGGTTCCCCTCAGAGTCTTTGAGACTTGGAAGGGATATTAGATGTCACCGAGCCCAACCTCCCTTGTAACACAGGAAGCTCTATCTAACATTCTTCATAGATAATTTTCCTTCCTTTCCTGAGGGTCACTAGATCATGGGTGGAACCTTTCCTAATGTGGTCTCACTTTTTATCTTCAACTTTATTTTCTACAACTCCTTCCATAGCCGGACTCCTCCAGTCAAACTAGTCTCTTCCTAGGCACCCCTCCTCCCCATTTACCACATTTGTTTTACTTCCATGTCTTTGCCTCTGGTGCTCTGGAGGATTGGTGATATAGTGGTTATGTGTTGGGCTGCTAACCACAAGGTCCACAGTTTTAAACCGCAACTGCTTGGTGGGAAAAGGGCATTCTACTTCCATCAAGACTTACAGTCTCCTAAAGAATTATAGTCTTGGAAACTCATGGGGCAGTTCGTCCCTATCCTGTAGGGTCACTATGGGTTGGCATTAACTTGTGGCAGTGAGTGAGTCTTTGGTTCTGCTGCTTTGCATGAATACCCTCCCTTCCTATTCCCAGTTCTCTTAATCCTAGCCATCATTTAAGGTCTACCTTAAACTTTTATGACCCATGCCTGACCCAATTCCTTTTCTTAGCTCCTATTATATATACTGGTACCAGAGAGTTTCATATGTACTTGCCTCCCACATGGACTAGTTTCGGTCACTCCATTCTCTCAACAAAATTTAAGTTCCTTAAAGAGGACAGCCTATCTCACAATTTGTATGGCCCACAGTCTTACTTAGCATGGGAGTAGGCACAGAGTAGGTACTCACTTAGATGGGCAACCTTAAGGCGAAAGCAATGAAGTCACACAGCAAATCAGTAACCAAGTACAGGATTTAAAAAAAAAAAAAAAAAGAAATTCTCTGATTCCCTGAGCTGGCAATCAGAGCTGGGATGCTTCCAGGAAGAGTTTAGAGACGTAGGCCAGGAGCAGTTGAAGGTTACCTCGGTAGTCTAGGGCAGGGGTCTGTGGGGCCTCTTCAGCATATACTTCATTGTAGCTTTCATCTGGATAGTAGCCGGAGCCTAGAGTGAAGAGGATAATACCAGAATGATATTGGAACTTCTCACTCATGGCCTTCCCCACATGCTCCTCATTCAACTTTGTCCCTTCCTGAGGGACTCCTGCAGTTAGAAGCTAGGTGACTATTTAATGGGAAAGAATCAGCCTCTGGAAAATCAGAACTCCTGTGGGCATATCTCAGAACTCTTGAAATTTCCAGAATGGAGAGGATGAGTTCAGTGTGGGTAATGGGTGGGGTTGGGATCAGGGTAGTGGTGGTGGTGGTGAGGGGGCCCTCATTGGTAACATTAAAACTCTCTATTGAAAATGGGGCGGGGGGAGAACTTCTTGACTATCTACTAATCTGGACTAAATATGGCCCATTTTTGGATACAACAACATATGCTTTGGTGGCACACAGATGACCAAGTTCTGAGGAAGGATGATTGTCCCAATTAGAAGGTCCTAGTAGGGTCTTCCCACTAGTGCCAGGTCTACTCACAGTCTTCAGAGGGGACCAATTCCACGAGCTTCCACTAGCCTACAGGGTTGGTCACCTGATCACCGCTGCTGGGGCTAGGGTGTCAGGGCAGAGAGGGATGAGTCATAAGGCAAAGGGAGAACTTGTGTACCAGTGTTCAGTCCGGTATTCTTCACCATAGCTCCAAAGTGAAAACAACTCAAAGGCCTCCCAAGAGATGACTAGATGAATACAGTGTGGCCCATAACATACCATTAGATATCACTACTCAATCATAAAGAGAAATGAAGCTCGGGTGCATGCCACAGCATGGATGAACCTTGGAAACCTCATGCTAAGTGAAAAAAGTTAGTCAGAAGAGGACACATAACTCACTTACATGGAATATGCAAATATATAGAAATCAAAGATTATGAGTGGTTGTTGGGGAGGGGAATATGGCGGAAAGGGAGAGTTTTTTGCTTAGGGTTTGTCTTAATGGTGGTGAAATCATTTGAGAACGGATAGTGATAATGAGAGGACAACAGGAAGAATTTAATTAATGAACTAATTTTACATGTCCGAACTGTTCCCAAAGCTGGGCCAGGAAGAAGAAAAATTTCAAGAGCAGTTTACTCTGGCTTGGAAAAGAGAAAAGGCAGTGAGCATCCTTTGGAGAAGTTTCCAGTTTCTCTAATCAGCAGGGTCCTTAACAAGGAGTCACAGAGTCAAAGAACATTCCACGCCCCTCCCGACTGCCCCCCCCCCCCCCCATCTAGTTCAGTGGCACAGCCCCTGGTGGAGAGAGCTCTGTGGCTGTCTGGGAGACTAAACAGTGCATTCTACCAGACTACAGGAAATCGGTCATGAATAAGAACTAATTGGAAAACAACTTGGTTCTTTCCGGAGTGACTTTTCCGGAAGTCCCCCTGTCCGCCCCTCTGAGCCCTAATGCATGCACAGGAATAGGGCAGGGAGCCAGGCTTGAGCCAGAAGACAATTCCCCATTTCCAGGAGGGGGTGTGCTTCCTGAACAGGGCAGGGTTTTCATGCCCGAGCTCTTTGTCTGTGTAAACACTCAGACCACAAACGTGCCGGCCTCCTCTCTGGGAAGAGGCACAGGGCCCCCTGCACCGAAGGGTGGAGCTGAGAGCTAGAGGATGAAGCTCCTCCATTGCCCACAAACCCAGACTGGGGCCTGGGGAACCAGTCCAACTTGGTGAACAAGGGAATGAATCAAATTGAAAGTTTGCAGTATGAAATCATGTCCTCGTTGGTTTGCCCTCATTCCAGAGCAAAGAGTTCATTCTCTCTCTCTCTCTCTCTCTCTCTCTCTCTCTCTCCCTTTCCCACCATTGTTTCCCATTTCAGTTTTCCCAATTTCCCTTTATTTCTCCCTGGATCTCCTCTCCCTTGTTTTCTCATTTACCATATGAGTACTTTCTTTGGTGGGGCATGGGATTCTGGTCAGCTGTTTCAATTTAGTATTAGCCTCAAAGCCTTAGGGCTCCTGTCAACAGGAGGCCAGCTGTGTGTGATTCCCTCAAGCAGGCACTGGGCTTTCCCATTCCTGTTACAGAGCTAGCTTATGAAGAGGTGCTCAGCAGGGAGCAAGCCTCCATTTACCACAAAACAGGAGGGCCAGAGGCCTGTAACTGGATAACTGCTAATGTTACTTTCCTTATTATGTGCTACACATATATGCACTATTTATGACAATATTATGCAATGTTTGCCATCATTATGGCAACTGTGATGGCATAATGAGGATATATATGTATATGTATACATATTATCATTATCTTCCAATGTACTGATAAAGAAAATGGTTCAGAGAGGTTAAGGGAGTTGCCCAAGGTTTCCCAGCTACTTTATAGCAGAGTGGGATCCAGCTCGTCTTTTGACCCTTAGATACCAAGCTCAGACATTCCACGAAGAGGGTAGGGTAAGATGTATATTCCAATGGGGATTAAAAATCCCACATCATTCTTACAGTACAGACTTCTTACCGGCTATATGTAGGATCAAAGGCCACTAAGCATTTCAGAATGACAGAGGATGTGGGAAAGGGAAAGACTGAATCACATAATTACAGTCTCTAGGGGGCAGAGGTATCAGGGCCAGTGCCAAGTTTGCTTTGTGACCGGAATGGGCTGGGCCTACCCTATTCCTTTAAAACAGTGGTTCTCAACCTTCCTAATGCCATGACCCTTTAATACAGTTCCTCATGTTTTGGTGACCCCCCCACCAAGCATAAAATTATTTCCATTGCTACTTCATAACTGTAATTTTGCTACTGTTATGAATCAGGCGACCCCTGTGAAAGGGTCGTTCGACTCCCAAAGGGGTCGCGACCCACAGGTTGAGAACTGCTGCTTTAAAACTTCCTGTTTCTCCTTTTGGCCTGTCTTTGGAAATATGCACCTGTACTGACAATGCTGTGGTACTTGGGTAGGGTGTAAGAATATAATTAAGAGGAGTACCCTCCTAACGTCCTGCTTTAGCTTTGTGGCGAGTGCTTTGAGCATCACTCTTTAGCTCCCTTATCAGTGGCGACTCTGTGATCCCGTTACTGGCTTCTTCCAATTTCCAAAGCCTGGTCAGATCCCACAAGCACTGAGCTCCACAAAGGTGTGGTTGGAGATTTAAGTGATAGTTGAAGACTACCCTAAGATCCACACTAATGCTTAGCTTTTAATGACAGATCCAGTTTGCCTTCCTGAACTGCAATATGCAAATACACACCATTAGCCCACTCTTGGCTTTATGTATGTTCTTTGGAAAAATAGTTTTATTGATATATCACTCACATATGAATCAGCTCAATAGTTTGGTCATATCAAAAGAGTTGTATAATCATCATCACAATCAGTTCCAGAACATTTTCTTCCTTCTTGTACTCTAATGCCCCATTTCTCTTCAACTTCTCCTTCCCTACCCCCAGTAGCCATCAAGCTGTCTCTATAGATTTGCCTATCCTGGATTTCATATCCTGGAAAACTATTTTTTTAAAGTCCCAGATAAAAACAACAACAACAGTAATAAACCAGAGAAAAACCGCCATCAAAAAGAAAGTGAGAAATATTCAAAACCATAACAAGTGAAAAATGAGTCAAAAGGAAAATCAAATACCAAGGCTTTCTGTTGTCCTTACCCCTTCCCACCCCTGCTGAGGCTCCCTGGGCCCTTTTTCTGATCAGCCCCGACTTCAGAGTTGGCTGCCTTCCATAGGTCACTCTCATTTGAGACAAGGTTGTACAAGTGACCGGACCCTGCAAGACAAGTGCCTCAGTAAGTAGCTGCTCAATGAATGAACCAGGGAGCAGAGCTAGCAGTGAGAGCAAGCAGAAGGGGGAGAAGGATTACTGAAACGGCACATTTCTCGAATAGCCTTGGAAGAATAGAGGAGGGTCAAATAAGTGGGTTTGCGGTTCTGTGGAGACCTCAGCAGCCCCGCCAGCCTCCGAGTCAGCGGTGACCCAGATGATTCCTGTGCAAATGGAGAGCGCCGTCTTTGTGTTGGCAAGCCTTTCGAGATTCTTGACAGAACGTATATGTATAAAATCTTCCCTTTCCCCAAGACGCCCACCGCTCAGGCTTCCATGCGTTCCATTCGCCTAAAGAAACCAACAAACCAAACAACAACAATAACAGAAAACAAACCCTCTGCCGTCGGATCAAGTTGATTCCAACACATAGTGACCCGGTAGAACAGAGTGGAAGCATTCACTGGGGTTTCTGAAACTGTACAGCCTTGCAGGAGCAGTCTCATCTTTCTCCGGAAGCTTGCCTGGGCGGTTTGAACTGTTGACTTTATGGTTAGCAAACCAGTTCATAACTCACGACACCACCGGGGCTCCCTGTGAGGTATCATACAGGTGTTCACAACGGAGCACTGCACTATCTAACCTCTACCCCTGCCAGTGGTCTTTGGCTGGATTTTATTCTTATGCACTTGGACTGAAGCAAGGAGGAGGCTAGGGAGGACAGCTGCAAATTCCCTCCTGGAGAATGGGGCTCCTTTAGCCCCACACAGTGTGTATTCTGCCAAGGGCTTGATTTGCATTTCTGCATCTCAATGTCAGCCCTTGTGCTTCCCCCCCTACCAAGTCAGGCTAAACCAAAGAGGGGAAGAAGTTTGCATATTTGTTTGAAAGCTTCATGCAGCTGTTCCAGACAAACAGAGTTACTGCCAAAGTCCTCCACCAGGAGCTAAGGGCATGTGGAAAATTTTAGCTGCAATGACTGTGGCTGCGATGGGGGCTGTGATGGGAGCAGTTTGTTATTTACTCATCTCTGGATATTTTCCTAACCCCACTGGTTGGGCCTGTCTCTTTCCTCTACCCTACTCCCATCCCCACCCCTAGTCCCTATGAGGACAGACACTGCAGGCCACGAAGTATTCTTAGCACTTGGAATGTCAGCTGGGATGCTTCAAAAACCTCTGTCTACCACCTCATTATATTTCCATCACCCCTCCTCCTCCCACTTCCCCTTTCCCTGTCCTCACTGAGTCTGCTCTTGTCAAACCCCCATGTCTCCAGGCACTCATAGAACTAGGAATCCACTTAAGGCAACACAACAATAACATGTCTCCAGGGGAGAAGGATGATACACTCAGGAATCCAGAAATCGTCGTCTCTGTGAAAGTAAGGAACAGCCCAAAAGAAACAGGGGAATTCTTGTTCACGAGGATGTGATTTGTATTGCTCTGACATCTTTGGCAGATTGACACAAAGGGAGTTAGAAAAGGTTCATCTTCGAAATAAGGTCTGGGAAAGGAGGGGGAGGAGGGAGGAGGGAGAGAGACAAAAGGAAAGGGAAGAGAAGGAAGAGGAGAGAAGGGAGAGAAAGAGGGAAGAGAGGAGAGGGAAAGGAGAGGGGAGAGAGCAATGAGAGGGAGATTGACCCCAAACTGAGAACAAGATTGACATCGTCTTGCTTTCCTTGAGAAAAAGATTGCCTTATGCCTTTCTCCTGTGTTTTTTACCCAAATGATTTATGTGGCCCAAGTCCGATTTTTTTGTGGTCTTGAAAAGAGTCTTGAGATTTCATTCATAACCGAATTAATATTAGAAACCGGTTTTCAGGAAGCAAGTAAGAAAGTGCAGAAGCAGGTAAGAAAATGACCTCCAAGGCCCTCTTGTTTAACGTTTTCATTTTTGTGCTGCTCTGGCCTATTTTCAGATATCTCTTGTTAAACTAAACCCAAACCAACTGCAGCCAAATCTATTTTGATTTGTTCGATGGGTTGGAACTGCCAGCCCACTGGCGAACAACCTAGCACTTTAGCCACTGTGCCACTAGGGCCCCTATCTCCCTTTCCAAAATCAAGCCAACCCATTACCATCAAGTCATATTGGAGGGCCTCTGAAATTATAAATCTTTATGGGAGCAGATAGCCTCATCTTGCTACCAAGGAGTTTGAACCACTGATGTTGCAGTAAATAGCCCAATGCTTATCCACCATGCCACCAGGGCACCAGAGCCTCAACAGCATCCTGTGGTAGCCAGCTACAATGCTGAATTATTTTTTCATAGTCAAGAATGGGTCCTCCTTGTGTCTAATCTAAGTGTCATTTATTATAGTCTTAGTCTTTGCTCCTTCAAGACTTGGTTCCTGCCCTGCTCTCCCTGGATAGCACCGTAGAGGTTAAGAAGCAGACTGCTAACTGCAAGGTCAACAGTTCAAAACCACCAGCTGCTCCATGGGAGAATGATGAGGCTCTCTACTCCCGTAGAGAGTTACACTCTGGGCAACCCACAGGGATCATTGCACTCTGTCCTGTAGGATTGCCTCTGAGAAGGAATCATCTCAATGACAGTGCCTTTGGGTTTGTTTGTCCTAGTACTCACCAGCATACCATGTTGGGGTCACTGCTGGAGTTAGGAAGAGCAGCAGAGAGAGGACTCCTATTTGAGTTAGTTGCCGGGTCATTCTTGACAGTGGGGTTTCGGAAGCAAGAGTTGAGGTATGAGGACAGTATCAAGGCAAAGGAAAAGGACTTCCAGGAATCAGCAATCAGTCAACTTCCCAAAGTGAGGGGATGAAATCTTCAAGAAAGAAGAGAACATGTTAAATTAATGAATGTCAGTTAATTACCACCCTCCTTCCCACCATAAGACTTTTTAGAATCACAAGACTCTATTTGTTGGAGGTTCCAAATTTATCAGCTGTTCCGTGAAAGAAAGATGTAGCTATCTGCTCACATAAAGATTGATACCTTTGGAAACCATATGTAGGGTTGCTCTGGGTCGGAATCAACTCAATGACTGTGGGTTTTCTCTCCCAGGAAAAAGACATAAGACAATTGGTGTTTACCGGACCTTGGTGAGATTAGATGTAAATGTTCCAATGCCCACGTTGTCTACTGCCATCGAGTCGACTGCAACTCCTAACAATCCTCTAGGACACAGTCAAAGTGGCCCTTTGGGTTTCAGAGGCTATAAATCTTTACAGGAACAGAAAGCCTGGTCTTTCCCTCTTGCAGTTAGCAGCCCACTGCAACACCAGGTCTCTTAGGCCGAACTTATATAGAGAAATATTGAGGAATCAAGATCAAGAAAAAGACAACACAAAGTCACAGTGGACCAGAATCAGCTTACCTATTTCTAGGTTCCCAGTTTCTGGCTCCATCTATTAAACTAAGATTTCCTAACAACTTATCAGGGAAATCATTTGACTATTTGGACTAAGTGATATTTGGATTCTGTAGTTCCACAGATCTCTGAATCCGAATCCAATTCTTTCACCTATTGGTTACAGGCACTTGGACAAATTCCTGAACTTATCTGGCCCTCAGATCCCTCTTCTGTGAAAGGAGGATCATAATATGAGCATCCAGTGCTATGTCTTGTCAAACAGATTATTGTATGGTACCCAGCGAAGCAATCAATGCATCAATGGACAAGAGGGGCTTCAAAAAGTGTGTGGAAAACTTCCATTCTCTTTTTATCTCCTTTTGCCACATAGGTTAAGAAGCCCTTCACGTATGCATTAGATCGTAGTGTTGTCAGCTTCTAGTCTATCAGTGTCGTCAAATTGGACAAGATTGGATGCTTCTTTTTTCTAGTCTCTCCGGCAGCAGCTGTTCTTTGCTCTGAGTTTTGAGACTTCGTGGGTTGGGGGTCGTGGCTTCTGGCTTTCAAGTCCAGCTTAAGCTTCCAGTTTTCTTCTGCTGACCCAGAAGGGAGTTGATGCCCTTAGCAGGAACGAACTGAAGGGCAGGAGCAGAGGCTGAACAAGTTGTCATTACCCTCTCACTTCCGTTCCTGACCTCACTCTAATGGGGAGAGTTTTGAGGTTCCCAGTGGGCACATACTTTGTAAATGACTGTTTTAAGCTTGCTGCCCATTGGGATAAACTAGCCACTGGTCGCTCTGAGAGCACCCATTCATCCACCTTCTTTCAATGAAAGGCCATGCTCAGGGGAGGAGTCCATCTCAGAAACAGTTGGTCTCCATAGTCCCTCAGGGACACAGGAGGTCCGGGAATGGCAAGCTTGCATATACTCCAATCCACCACTATGAGGCTTCACTTTTATCTAGAGAGTGGTCAGGAAGCAGAGTAGCGAGTGAGCACAAGAGAGAGCAGAGTAACGAGTGAGCACAAGAGAGGAAGGCAAACAAAAGTGAAAACGGGTGAGAGGAAGCTAGGGAGGGAAGAAAGTTTTTACAGAACTGAAAGAAATGGAAGAAGGACATGAAAGAAGGAGAAAGAAGGGGATTAAAGAGCGATGCAGGCACATGAGCAGCTGGAGAACTAATCACTGCCCTCTCCCCCCCATCCAGCCTTTGTTCAGGAGCAGAGTCTCTCCTTTCTCAGCACCAGTATTCTAAGTCTGTGGCCCCTCTCCTACCCACCTCCTCCTTAATCTCAAATTGAACACTGGACTCATCCCACTGAAGTCAGCCACCCCTCCACCACTCGGGACTGCAAAGGCAGTCTGCAGCCAGGTTTCTAGCACAAAGGAAAGGCAGTTAATGATTTAGTTTCCTAAAAGATCTGCCTGCTTCTTCCCCACCAACCACCCAGTCATATTAATGGTCCTCATCTCTGGTCTCTTCACTCCCCGGCCCCACCCCACCGCTTGCCAGGGTTGTGAAATGAGCGAGTGTAGCCTGGAGGGGTGAGGGACAGTGCTTACCTGCTTTCTGTGGGTGGGGATGTGTTTTCTTTCTATCTCCTCTTTTTCTCCTTCTCTGCTCCTTTTATTGGTCAGAAGAAGCTCCTACTTTAGCATTCCTAGAACCAGTGGCTCCTGGTCTGTTGGGCCTCCGGGATTCTGTTAACGCTGCCCAGATGTTAGGACGTCTGCATCTGCCAAAATTTTCCTTAAAGCTATACTGTTCCTCCCTCAGAGAAAGGTCTTAGAGAGCTGGAGAAGGAACACAGAGATTCCAGGGACTCAGTCCGGTCTGCTGCAGAACCAGGAGAAATGTGAGTGATGCTGGCTCCAAGCCTGTGAGTAGAGTCATGACTAACAGAGGCTGGCCCAAGGGTCGCCCAGAGGAGAGCTTTGTTTTTTATGACTCAGCATGACGCCAGGATTGAATGAGAAGGACTTTCACAAACTCCAAGAGGAGAAGAGAGTTGCAGCGGACTTTGACTCACTGGATCTTTCTCCATCCCATCATTCCTCAAAAACCAAGCTCACTGCCATAGAGTCGAGTCCTATAGGACAGCCCCTGGGGGTTTCTGAGACTAACTCTTTACAGGAGTGAGAAACTCAACCAAACCAAGCTCACTGCCATTGAGTCATTGTGACACTGTAGGCCCGGGTAGAACTGTGAGTTTCTGGGACTGAAACTCTTTTCAGGAGTAGAAAGGCTTATCTGTCTCCCACAGAGTGGTTGGTGGCTTCAAATAGCAGCACAGCGAATAAAACACACTACCAGGGTTCTTCTAGCATTCCTCATCTGGATAGTACAGGGTTAGACACATGTTGAAACCTTCTCACTGATAACCTAACTTCCCTGAACTGATATTCTGATTTACTCCCCCACCCCAGCACCACCACCACCACCACACACGTACCATGAGCTTCTTGCCTGAAGAGTAAAGACTGATTTCCTATAACCAGAGTGGTGGGAAAGCAGGCCGAAGGAGACTTTAGACAGAGGGAGGCAGTTTACAGGACTCTAGATGCTATGTGCCCGGCAGGGTTGTAGCCGGCACTAAGCGGTTTCCCAGTGCCTTCGGACCAAGGGATATGTTTCTCTTTCATAAGCAAGCTTTCTTCACTTTGGTTTCAAGTAATGAGCCTATTCTCTACCACAGCAAGGCCAGTTCTTTATATGCTTTCTCCCCTCAGAGATGACATTTCCATCCCTGGAAAAGTCACAAGTTGTGGAAGAAGAAAAAAAAATTTAAACTGGCTTAGAAAGCTGTGTGAGCAAGCAATTCAGTAACCCTTTCTTGTTCATGAAGAGAAGAACTGTACTGATGAGAATGCAAAGTTCAGCGGCAAGCCTGTCAGTCACAACTATGTATTGAATTTCCATTCTCCCTTCAACAATGTGATAGACATATCACAGTGTAGCAGACATGATCTGGGCCTTGCTCTTGCAGCACGTTTATCAAGAATTTACTCCATCAAGGATGGGGGAGGCTGTAGTGAATGTGACCAATAAAGCCTCGAACATCTAAATCCCTAATTAATTCAACAAATATTTAATGAACTTCTGTTTGTGCCACATTCCATCCTAGGTGCTTGACAGGTGACAGTGGACAAAATAGACAAAATACCCATCCTTGTGGAGTAGAAGACCCATTCAATAACAACAAAATGTGTTTAATTACATTATGTGTGCTTAGGGAACTAACCTTTATTGGCTATCCATAAGCACCTGGGATACAGTGGTGAGGAAGACAGGTGTGCTCTTTGATCTCATGTATTGTACTACTCTTCAGCTTCCAGAAAGCTCATATTAGTAACGGAGAACGGGGGACCAAAGTGATTAGAAAACAGTACAAGTCTATAAAATAATAAAGTGCCCAAAGCTATGATATAGTGTGTGGAAACTTGAAGGGAAGGGCAGAGGAGGGGATGGCATCTGACAAGAGATGAAGCTTGGTCAGCTCTCAGGGCAATGACACAGACAAGAGCTCATTGCGGTGTCAGAGGGGGATGGGCAAACTGGTAAAGAGGAAACTGGTAGGAAAAAAGGTTGAATAATTAGGATAGGGCCAACTTATGGGGCCTTTGATCATGAAAAATAGGAGTTTACAGTTCATGTGTTAGGTAATAGAGAATTAGTTATATGTATCGAAGGATGGGATGGGGAGAGACAGAGAGAGAACAGTAAAATATAGTCTACCATTGGACGGTGAGTTATCTTTTTAAAATAGGGATATCTTTCTAAAAACCCCTTCACTGGGTCTCTTGTGGCAAAGAAAGGATGGTGAGCTCTTTAGCATAGCACATCATACTGAAACTCCCTCCCAGCCCACCCTAGATAGCAGTGATTTGCTTTATCTTCCTTTTTTCTCAGAGCACTTTGTACATGTCTGTACAAGGCAAAGGACTTGCTGCCCTGAATGCAAATGTTCTTTACTTCTCTCTGTCTTCTATTGGAGACTGAGCTCAAGGACCTTGCTCGAGTCTTTTTGTATGTGTGCTCCAGTCTACTTTGGATGCAGACCACTCCACCCCTGCCTACCACAGAAGGCCTTGAGGCCTAGCCTATAAGTACCTGAGGCTGCATAAAGGCTCCAGACACACTGAGAACAGGACGAAAAGCACAAGAGGGTGGCCATGAAGGGTTAAAGAGGATAGTTAGGAGCCCAAATAGTCAAAAGACCCAACTCACTACCGTTGAGTCAATCACCACTCATAGTGACTCTATATAGGGCTTCCAAAGCTGTAAACCCTGACAGGACCAGACAGCCTCATCTTTCTCCCACAGAGTGGCTGGTGGGTTTAAACCGATGGCCTTGGGGTCAGTAGCTCACCATGTAAGTACTCGATGCCACCAGGGCTCCACAGTGAGAAGGGGGTATGGAAATCACCGGGAGATAAAAGTCAGGGGAGACTTCAGATGAGAAGAATGGTATTCCCTGAAGTTCTGGATAGGTCATATGAAAAACTTCACCAAAAATCGGGAGCGGGGGGGGTGGGGGGTGGGGTGGGGTGGGGATTGAGCAAAAAACTGTTTCTGAAGTACCTGCCATGTAAGGAAAACACAGTGCTAGACACAGTGGAGTTATGAAGATGGACACCTTTCTATATGGATATGAATTGTTTGGAAAGACAAAGACACACAAAGGTATTTACAACACGCATACAGCTAACTGCCTAACATTTAGAAAGTTCAGCTTGGACTTTTTCATATTCAATGTCAATACTTTTCATATGAAGCTTCTAAAGGAGAGGAAGCGCATTCCCTTGAAGCCCTGGGATGGGTAATAGGAAAAACGTCACCAAAAACAGGTGGGGCATTCATATGAAAAGAAGGCTTCATATAAAAAGTGCTCAAGCGTCAAGTTGAAGGCAGAACCTTTCCCATCGCAACCCCTGGAAAAACATACCCGATAATTCATAGCTTCTCAAACTTGCTTGGCCTACTAGTCCCTTTTCAGGGGGGAAAAATGCAGCGCCACCCTGGCAATGAAAACTTTGTATGCTATAGTCCACATTCCAGGGGAAGCGCAGGCATCTGCTTCCGCAGGATTGCTCACTTTGGGAAACACTACTCTAGATAGTCAACAAGGTATTGTTTAGAAAGATGGTAAATATGGCAATTGGCTTACCTAACTGAGATATTAGCAAAACTAATGAGGTTAAACTGGAACGCTTTCCTGACAAATGAACTAATGCAAATTGACATGAAATTATGAAGAGTAATGCCACATAAAAGTATTTCTCATTGCGATGTGTCTCAAACTGTAACATAGCTGTTTAAAGAAGGAGAGGGCAGGGCTGGACAGGAGGAAAGGATACATGGAGGTTCTGAAAGGACTGGATCGGGGAAAAGTCACAGGAGAGATTTCAGAGAAGGAATCGTGGGGATACACAGAAGACGGTGAGAATAAAACAGATTCCTATTCAGGAAGCTAATTCTTAAAACTGTATCTGTGAATGATCTGTTTAAATGAATGGGGGGGAGCACTCCATAGCTGTAATATAAATTATGAGAATTAGAAACTAGGTAGAAGTTTCAGGACAGATAACTGTGCCAAAAGTCATTGAAAGGACGCTAGAAAAGAGATTCGAAAATGAAAATGATGGGGGCATAATGGGAATAAGGGATCAGTTGTATTCAGAATGTCATAACTAATTTCTTTGTACTTGTTCCCACGGTAGAGAATAATAATGGCCCAAGATATTGTCTGGCAGCTCTCCTGTTTCTGTTTCATGTAATGCTAAGATAACCTATACCTTTTAGTTTTTATTTAACTTATCAAACCTTTATTTAACTTATCAAACCACTGATATGTGGTGTCCTCAGAGATCTATTATGACTAATGTGCTTGATAGGGATTGGCTGAGCCCCAACTATGAACTCCTCCAGAGAGCCTTATGGCCTAGGGTCCTCTGGAGAGTCTAAAAGGGAGCGCAGGAGCCCCGCCACAGGAGCTCGTTGCCTGTTTCATACCATCTAGACAGCAGGATGGAATGCAGGTAAGCAGACCTGCAAGGCAGGGACTATAGGAACAAAGAATTTGTAGAATGTATGGTTAGATTGAGTTTTAATGTTTAGAAAGAAGTGTCTGGGGGTTAGCTGAACTGTGGGTCGGGGGCAGGAAGTTTGAGTGTGTTTGGAGGGTAGATAGGGAATACAGAACAGGTTTTGTTTATTGGGGAATGAATCCTACTAACCTGACTTGGAGCAGAAAATTTATGTTGGTAAAGCAGGAAATAAGCTGAGATTGTCTTTGTTGAATTTAACTCTCGCCTCCACTTCAAGAGCCTAATCACCTAGGAAGGACATTAGCCCTGCTTGTCCCAGACTAGTGGGGCAAAGAGTCCAATCTTCTGTCTTTCTAGTCCCACCACCTAAGTTCTCCCTCTTTCTGATCACAAAATTACATGTTTGATGCTAAAACCATGGGGCAAAAGGAAAATATTCAACTGTTGTCTTACATTCAGCGTTTAGTAGGGAGTCTTGCCTTTAGTAACTTCTTGTCACCTTCGAGATTAGGTTTAAATGTCTTTGGCATTTGTTGAAGGTAAGTAAAACAAGCAGCATTAATACTGAAGGCAAGCATTTTCCCTTGACCTCCAAGTTTCTGGTATCCAACATGTATTTTTGTGATTAGGAAGAGGATGAATCCGAAAGAAAGTATTGAACTGTGGACCTTGCCAGTTAGGCACTGGCATAATGCCTTTCCAGGTGATTAGGCCATTGGAGAAAAAGTGAAAAGAATTCAACAAAAATTGCAAATGCATGGAAACATGGGAGGCCTTTGTATTTCGGGGGACCCAAAGGCCCCTTGTTCATACTTAAAAGTTTGTGTAGAGCAGTCTTTGCTCAGGTTCTCAAGCAAGGCAGCTGTTTGTCCAATAGTAGTCATGTCTCACCACACAATAAGCCCAGTTTCCAAGAGGAAAACTTGAAGTTGGCAGGGCTTAGTCTTAGGCAAGTTACTTAGCTACTGAACCAGTTTCTTTATCTGTAAAAGGAAGACTATAGCAGTCAATATCTTATAATAGAGCTTGCGTGATGTATTCATAAGGGGAACATGTATCAATTGCTAAGCAACAGGACTTGCTTGGAACATGGTAAGTGTTCAAAATTATAGTTAATGTTAATACTTTAAAGAATAAATTTATTCTTATGGCCTCAGGAAAGAATTTTTTAAAAATTGCTTAGATGGAATCGGATGCCTCTTTGGTCTGAATTTGGATTCAGAATGAGAGAGGGGTCTGGGTATAGCAGTGTGGGAGGCAAGTAGGGTAAGATGTTGTGGCCAAAGGAATATTCATTTCCATGTCGGTCTTGGGTTTAATTTGGCACTGTCTGCTGCTCAAACAAAGCAGTGGTTGTGAGTGGCAGAGGAAGGGAGCAGAGGAAAACCAATATATTCTTGGAAATAAGATGTGGCTTTGGCTTTAACTCTTTACTGTTTTTTCCTTTTCTGCCAAGCTGCTTCTTTGTCCTTGGGTTTACAACAAAAATCCCTTCTAGAACTTAGTACACACCTAAGCTTCAGAGGATACTTTCATTAAGGTAACAAAGAGTTACAAAGACTAGGTTTTAAGTTTTTAATATTAGAACCACTGAGATGAGATCATTTTGTCTAGGGAGAAATCTTTTTATGTACCTATTTTTGGAAAGCCCCCCTCAACCTCCTTCCCTATAACTAAGGCCTATGGGGTGCTTTAAATATTTACTGTCTGCTGTGTTTCCTTATTTTGTCCCCAAGTTTATATAGGTGTTTTACAAGCATAAAGGTCTGTGGTTTATTTATTCTGTTTGTGTTAGGCCTTTCTATTTAGGATGCAATTTTAGTATAAAGCCTGGCAGTGCCGTAATTTACCGTATTCTCTGGCAAAGAAACTAGCCTTCGGTCAATATTCGAAGCACAGGGCAACTCTGTGACCGAGTTGATGGAACTTTCCTATTTTCTAGTTCTATGACATGTTTCCAGCAAAGTTTCAAGCACAATTATTCTGAGCATCCACTAAACCGGGACTTTTGCAATGGTGTTGCGGAAAACGCCCCCTGTGATGTTAAGCTTGTATCAGTGGTGATGTAATAGATTGAAAAGGGGACTGCCCTTTAATCTCATCCCTCTACAAATAACATACAAGTAACTTTGATTTGATAGTCTTTCAATGTGTAATGATGGTTTCCCACAATTCATTCATATGCCCATTCTTTATTTAGTTTTTTGGGGGGAGGGGGTCAGCCAAATCCCACCACTCAAATGAAAAATTTTCATTTTTCCTTTGCATGAACACAGGTCACTGTTCGTATTGTTCTGCCCCGCCCCCCTTGGAAGTAGATTTCTTGTGGGTACATTCCCATATTAGAAAATATTCTTAGTTCCCTTTTAACCTTGTCCTTCCTTTCCTTCCTTCTAGGGCACCAGGGGCCGGAGAGGCCGAATCTCTGAGCGCGGCTGGCGCTGCTGGTGAAAGAAACAATATGAAGTTATAGGGGCGGGGGAGGGGTGGCGGGCGGGTAGAATTCTTTGAGAGAGAAAACATGTATGCTCCACTTGAAGACCTGTATTTCCAACACTAGAACCTTTGTATATAGTTTCCAGTAACCTTCTGCAGGGGGCGCTCGTCAATGGTCGGCCCTTTCCCGACAGCCTCCCGGACTTTCCCCTCTTCGAAAATTGCACAGTGTTTCCGGCTCTTCCCAGTTGTCGGCGCTCGGCTGGGTTCGGCAGTTTCCGGAGGGACTCGGCGTCTCCGCGTCTCGCTGGCTTCGTTGCGACCGCCTGGCGCGGTGGTGCGGGGGTCTTAGGCGAGCCATGGCGTCCCCCTCGCGGAGACTGCAGACCAAGCCAGTCATTACTTGTTTCAAGAGCGTCCTCTTGATCTACACTTTCGTCTTCTGGGTGAGAAACGGCGGCGCCCGGGCGGGCGGGGGTTCCCGGGCTTGGGTGGGCAGGGGGACTGCGCGCGGGGTCGGGAGGGAGGCGCGGGGCGTAGCTCCCGGGAGCCCGGCGCTGCCGCTGCTGAACTACTGGGGCCCAAGCCCGGCCCAAAGGGTCTGGGGTGCAGGACGGAGGCAGCCGTCCGGCTGCGCTGGGATCGTACCCCGAAGTGCCTGGCTTGCGAGTTCCTCACGCTGGGCGAGTAGGGGGGACACGGCCACGGTGTCCCCGAACGTTGGTGTGGCAAGGCTGCCCCGAGCCCCTCTCGAGGGCTCCCTCGCTTAATAGTCTCTTTCTTTTCATTGCTTCATTAGAGGGGAGTCTTGCGCAGGTAAGTCTGGGCTCACTCCGCTCCCGCTGGCTGCCTTCAGGCTGCCTTTTGTGTACCACCCCTTTGTATCCCAGGTTGGGGCGGGGGGAGGGGAGAGTCTCTGGAACTTAAACCCCGAGCCCACGGGCGGATGGATTCCGCCCCCGAGCGACTTTCCACTTCCAACCCAGTGGAAAGTGCCCCATAGGGTTTCTGAGATTGGCAATCTTGATGGGAAGGACTTTTTTTTTTCCAACCCCCTCTCCATCTTTATGACGTTTTGGTTCCAAGGGCAGATATGCCCTGGCCTTGTGTTTAACACACCCGCAAAAAACCTCGATGAACTTTAAGATACTTGATAATGCCTTGTGGAGTTGCTCTCTGATTTTGCCTTGGCGAGCTGCCTGGTAGGTTCCTTATGGGCATTGTAGGTTCATCATGGCCTGCCCATGTGTGCACTTCCCTCTCCCCGTCCCCCTCCCCCCAAATCCCGGACTACCCAATTCATTCTCACACCTATTGTGTGTGAGATTCCGAGTGGTTAGCGGTTTGGAAGATGCTGGTGGATGTAATAACTGTATAACTGTTTCTGTTCTCCCATGTAGATCACTGGTGTTGTCCTTCTTGCTGTTGGCATTTGGGGCAAGGTGAGCCTGGAGAATTATTTTTCCCTTTTAAATGAGAAGGCCACCAATGTCCCCTTTGTGCTCATTGGCACTGGCACTGTCATTATTCTTTTGGGCACCTTTGGCTGTTTTGCTACCTGTCGAGCTTCTGCCTGGATGCTAAAACTGGTGAGTCCTTCAGATGGCTTCCTGCGTTTGAGTGGGTGTGTGTAAGGGCTTTGTTCTCTTGGAATTGGCTAGATCCCTTTATAACGGTTCCTGTTCTATGAAAACATGCTGATGGTTTAGCTTTCCAAATATAGACTTATTCAGTATGTTTTCCTTGCTTGCAATAATAATTTTTAAAAGCTGACTCATTTTTTTGCAGCTCCGATATAACCTTTATATTTTATGCTGACTTAGACTTTCTGTCTTTCAGTATGCAATGTTTCTGACCCTAATATTTTTGGTCGAACTGGTTGCTGCCATCGTAGGATTTGTTTTTAGACATGAGGTAAGTTGGGATTTGGAAACTTTAATATGTTTTATTCACCTATAGCTGGATTTAAGCTTAGTTTTTTCCACTCAGAATTCATAGTTCTACCCTGATTCTCCCCTGGGGGAGGTGGGGAATACAGCCGTCCACACACTTGAATAAAATGTATGTCACCTTAGCACTCTGAATTGGAACATTATTACATGAAAGAACGTCCTGGAACCTGTAATTTAATGACATTGTATTTCTTTGCTGTAGATTAAGAACAACTTTAAGAATAATTATGAGAAAGCTCTGACACAATATAACACCACAGGAGATTATAGAAGTGATGCCCTAGACAAGATACAAAATAAAGTAAGTAATTGTACTTGGGGGACACATATCCTCCTTCTCTTCTTGTATGGATGCTAGTGGTGCTGATGGGCCCTAGCCAATCCACGACAGGGATTTTTAACCTTGCAGTAGAGACCTTTGAACTAGATCACAAATCGTGATCTAAGATGATGCCGGTTAAAAGTTAGTAACAAGGTAGGAATGTGTAGTCTAATTGCTTTTGTTGGCTTTTCCAGTTGCATTGTTGTGGTGTCACCAAATATACAGATTGGGAAGATACTAATTATTACGTCCAACACGGATACCCAAAGAGCTGCTGTAAAACTGAATGTACTCCGAACAAAGATGCAAGTAAAGTAAACCACGAAGTAAGGAGCTGTTCAAGACTTTTTATTCAAGAATATATGAGTACTTAAATAATTAAGAGTTGAAATGCAAAAGGTAGAAATGGTTGGGAATAACCATTTGCCTGGAATCTCTCTCTCTGTGTGTGTGTGTGTGTGTGTGTGTGTGTGTATGGATGGATTTCAATAAAAGACACTGGTAGCTAAAACCCATCTTTTAGGGGCAGTATATGATGAAAATGCTTTGAAAAAGCATACTTTATTTGTGTTGTCCATAATGTTTGCTTTCCCCCTTTCTAGGGTTGCTTTCTGAAGGTAACGACCACAATAGAGTCAGAAATGGGAATCGTTGCAGGATTTTCATTTGGCGTTGCTTGCTTTCAGGTAAGCCTTTGAAGTTGCTTAAGAAATACCTTAGTTCCTCTAAGAACGCTCAGAGGCTCCCACTTACAGCAGTGGTTCTCAACCTGTGGGTCTTGACCCCTCTGGGGGGGTCAAACGACCCTTTCACAGGGGTTGCCCGATTAATAACAGTAGCAAAATTATAGTTATGAAGTAGCAACAAAAATAATTGTATGGTTGTGGGGGGGTGTCACCGCAACATGAAGAACTGTATTAAAGGGTCGCGGTATTAGGAGGGTTGGAGCCACTGACTTTACAGACTTCAGGGGTCTGGGTTGTGAGGGCATTTTCAGAAAAGCCACATTTTCTTTTGCCAAGCGGAAAAAATTAAGTAGTACCGGTAGAAGCATTGGCATAGTTTATCTTCACCTATGTAATTGCTTTTGGAAGTCTTTGCTTTAAAGACATGCCACGGTATGGTATTAGAAACACATTAAGACAAGAAATATATTAGCTACCTTTTGAAAGCTTGCCATGGAAAGTTAAAAGCTTACCATATTGGACAGCACAGGTATTACTTCCCAAGAAAATCTCTTCCTTACATGAGTAAGAAAAGTTTCCCTAAAACTGACTCCTGAATGTTCCTTGCGTGATTGTGTCTGTGACAACAGTCACAAAACATTTATTTCATTGTCTGCAAAATTACAAGTGCAAAGAAAATAGACTTATCCTGTTGACATCCTGCCAATTTGAAGCTCGTGGTATGTTTAATTTTGCTCATATTTTATTTCCAGCTGATTGGAATCTTTCTCGCCTACTGCCTTTCTCGTGCCATAACAAATAACCAGTATGAGATAGTGTAGCCAACGGATCTGTGGGTTTACTCCTCTCCAACTTTAAGGTGAGTTCATTTTGGTACTCAGCTTGGTTAATGTCCAATACGCTGTCAGCCTTGCAGGTCTAGATGCAAGGCATGACACCCCCTCACCCCTACTTACCCCGCCCCCCAAACTAACAAACCATGATATTTTGTCTGTACATAAGCTCCATTTATGCTAGACAGCCCTCTGGATAACTCATGTCAGTCTACAACTTATAAAGGATTGTATATTGAGATTTTTTTTCTAGTCTTTATCCTATAATTACCTGACTTGGAATTTTTTTCCCTTCTTCAGTGTAAGAACAGTTGTCAGCCCTTTATGAAAGAAATAATGAGATCACCTGATTGGAAGATACTGGCCCAATAAACTGAAAAGCTACTGAGACAACTTACCAATAGACTGACTCTATCAAGATAGTAGTCCAATAGGCTGACGAAATCGACATTTGCTCAATATGTTCAAAGTCCGCCACTTATGTCCCATTCATGTGAGATCATTGCAACATCTCCTATTGCCCTGAAACACTGGAAGAGCTAGTAAATTGCAAATGAAATGCTGTGTTCCTCTTGACTTTTCTTTTACTCGGGGGTTCTTTGCCAGGCACTATCAGTGTGCTGTTTGATGTAAAATGGAATTACCCCCTCTGAATTGCCTACTGATGTAGTTTGATAGGAAATTAACCCCTCTGAGCTGTCCCCTCCTCAACCAAGGTTATCTGGTTTGATTGTATAATTTGCATCAGGGAATTTCAAATGCTGTCCATAGTCTCTGTTCTGCTAACAGGCAGCGGAGAATCACACTGTGTAATAGAACTAGTCAGTACTTGGATCAAATCAGTGGTGCTGGTGATGGTCTCTGACCTAACACACCCAAAGACTAAGACAGCCTTCATGTTCCCTGACTCATCAGGTTTCAGCACACAAATGAAGGTGTTTGTACTGATGTTTATATTTTCCCTATTTGCAGGGTTCTAGTTATTACTTCAATAGTGTTGGAATTAATGTCTTTTCTTTCGGAATTTAATTTCATTAGCCTTCGCTGGTATTTCCTTATGGGGTTGATGTGATTTAATTAGTCAACTTGAGTAGTCTTAGTTTTGATTTGTTTCCTTGATTAATAAAATTCTCTTACACAATACATTTTGTTTTCAGTGAGTATGTTGTATTTTCATCTTAAGTAATTTAAAAATTTTTAGAAATGCATTGCATAGAATACATGGCACTCACTGCACATTAAAGAAAAACTAAATACTTTACGTATTTTTAAAAGCAGAGGAACTAAAAAATCACACATCCCTTCAGATTTGTTGAGATAGATATAAAAATGCTTGGAGTGCTCCTGACTAGCTATGTGCACATATGCATACTGGATTGCAATCCTTAATTCTGAGAGCAATGAGTCCCCTGGTTTCACCTGATTGTATTATAACTGGTGGCAACAAAGTTCACATGTCCCTAATAGGTTGTCAGTTACAATAGCTGGCTATGGAGAGGGGATCAAGTGATATACATCAAGCCTAACCAGCTTCTACCAGAATCTCTAGGACTGCCTTTCCCTGGAAACACTAATTTCACTCTTAATGGCCTGTGGCCTGAACTCTGGGCTTCCTGATGACATTCCTTTGAAGTTTTAAAAATGGGGGTTGTACACAATCCTCCACAGTATCTGCTCTTTTAAGTTTAAAATAATTCCCCTCCATCTACTTTATGCAAATGTATCCTGTGTGTTATCTTACCTGTAGGCACCAGGTTTCCTGCTCCAAGGAGCTCAGAACTCCACTGAGAAGCTACGCTACCTGCTTCATAGCTTTGTTGTGGAGAGCTTCAGAGCTTTGCTAACCTCTGATTTAAGCTTATGTTACAGGTTTCAAACTTCTGTGGAATTAAATAACTTTCTCAGGATTAAAATAACATTCTTTAATGATGTTCTGAAACCACATGTTTTGATGGCCTTGTCAAAATCCCCAAACCGTGGTGGTGCAGTGGTTGAAGTGCTTGGCTGCTAGCTAACTGAAATGTCAGCAGTTCGACCCCAGCAGCCTGCTTCCATCAAGAAGCCTCACCTTGGAAACCCTTTCGGGCATTTCTCTTCTGTCCCGTAGGGTCCCTATCAGTTGGAACCCACTCCACCGCACTGGGTTTGGGTTATGGGTCAGAAGCCCAGCTGATTATACTTAGTGATAGGGCCAACCAAATCTGTTAATTTATAAGATAGAAAGCAACGTGTGTGCACATGCACACGTGTGCGTGTGTGTGTGTGTGTGTGTGTGTGTGTGTGAAACAGGAAAGTTTGATACTTCTGGACTGACCCATGTGGGATTAGTATACATACTGGCTCTGCTTTTCCGCACAGCGTGAGGTGTATTTTTCAAAGCTTCCTCCCCTTCCAGGTTGACATTTTGCCCGTGATGTGGAAAATGGGGTCTTTTTTAATTAAAAATGAAAAAGGAAGGCTAATTTATCAGAAGAGAACATGTACACTGAAACGACTACAGGGAAATGACACCTTAATTTTTAGGCCATCGGTTTAAAACTTCGCACAGATTGCTTGTGAGAGGGAAGCCATTATGATTTAATTATGGCTTTTCTATTAGGTACCCCTACTCCATGGAGTTGAGTAGAGTCCGACACGTGTGAGCGCACAGTAAATGCAAATAGCATAAAATAAATGAGTGGGTGAATCTAATTATAATGGTTTCTTACAGTTCTGCATAAAATAAGTTGATCTAACTACCTCATTTTATATAAGCCCCTGTTTATACAATAGAAACCACCTGCCCAGTCAGAAACCACTTAACCTTCTGCAATTGGGCTCCTGTTCTCAACACTCCACAGAAACTGCTTTAGGAGACCACTGCTAACTTCCTCCTGGCCAAGTCACTTTTTGCTGTTTCTCAAACTTTCTGCTGCATCTGACTTTTATTTTGACCGTGCGATCTACACAATTTTCATCCCTTTTACTGCCCTTTCTAGTATACTTCTGACTTTTCCAGTAAGGTTGCCCTTTCTAGTAAGGGCTTTTTATTTTTGGCTTCCTGCTCTTATATTTTGGAGCCATCATGCCTTAGTGGGTTAATGGGTTGGGCTGCTAACTGCAAGGTCAGCAGTTCAAACCCACCAGCTGCTCCAAGGGAGAACGATAAGGCTATATAGCCCTGGAATCTCAAAGGGGGACTCTCTATGCTGTCATATAGGGTCACTATGAATCAGAATTGACTCAATGCCAACGAGTTTGGTTTTTTTACCCTTAGATTATGTTTACTTTCAGGAACTGAATGTATGTAATCCTAAGAAATCTTTTACTCTGGTTTGGCACTTTATTTTTAACAGTTTTGTTGGCATATAAGTCACATAGTATACAATTCAATAGTTCAATCACATCAAGAAGAGTTGTAAAATCATCACCACAATTGGGTTAGAATATTTTCTTCATTCTTGTACTCATCGTTATTAGCTCTCCATTCCCACCCCCCCACCCCTGCCATACTATGATCAGAGGGGATTCACCAGAGGTTAAATCCATGTGTGGACCCTGAAAATGGAATTTGGGCATGCATTGTCATTCACAGCCTTCTGCAAACCAGGTGTTCACAATTTAAGTTCTGATATCATTCCCTCCGTTCATTTGGATTTTATTATTTAGAATCCTTGGATCACACAGGTTGGGGTGCATCTTCCATATGGACTTGGTTGATGCCTCACTTATATAGATACTTGTTTGAAAACAAGCTTTTAAGGCTCCACACACTATTCATTCTGATGGCCAGGCACCCTCTAGTTTCTTCACCACACTTCGCTATAGTACCCAGATATTCAATGATCTCTTGATGAGGGTGGGCATCGAGCAAGGTCATGTCATAAGAACTAATTGTTCTTAGATTGGGGCTAGGATTAATTGCAAGCCCCAAATCAATTCATAATTTATGTACGCCTCTGTTTCACCTGAGAGACATCATCGGCATTTTCTGTTAGAGAACATTATAAATCAGCCCTCTGGTGCATCACTTCCACTGCTATCAAGTGAGTCAGCAAGTCTCTGAGCTTGCAACTCTTCACAGGAGTAGAAAGCCTCATCTTTCCCCTGAAGAACTGGCTGGTGATTTTGAACTGCTGACCTTGCTGTTAGCGGTCCAATGTGTAACCCCTACATATTGTTAGTGTCATTAGTTTGTATAGTGGTATAGAATTTAAAACACTCTTGAGAAAAGGAAATTGTATGAGTATAGGCCAGCTATAAAACTCAATACATGAACTGTTGACTTGTACAGATTAAACTCTTAAGTGACTGGGCACTGTTTACAAACAGTGGGGGTTGGTGATAAGGCAAATCTTCCAATAATATCCATTCACAACAACAGAGCCATGCCTACCAGATTAATACATGTCATAACGAAGCAAGCAAGGAGGGCATTAACATAGTAAGTATGTGGCTCTGGGCCACCATTCATGGGGCGGGCACCCTCAAGGCAAGAGATTCCAATCAGAGGCCAAGGTCCACCAGTTTTATGCCCTTGGGGGCTAGTAGTCATCTGCTTCTCACACTAGGGAGTTTCAGCCTTAAAGTCCAAGGGCTACAGTTGAGTTGGAGGTAAAGCCCAGTTCCCTTAATGAGGTTTCCACATCGAGTCCTTCTGGCTTGGCCTAGGAAGGATGCTGTGCACTTCGATAAACCAGAGTCGAAAGTCCCAGTAGTCTATTTGGGCGTTATTCAGAGCAGTTTGCTTTTACTCATCTTCCAACCTCAAAGTTTTGCATTCCGAACACTTCTAAGTCGCAAAAGGCTTACTCTAGCAGCTAGTATCATGGCTAGTGGGCACGTAGGACACGTGGGAGTGAAGGTGCACGTTCCTGACCTCTGGCTTCCCTTTTGCCATGAGGCGAGAGTTAGACATGCCTCCATGCTCCATCCTCTGGTTACCTATTCTGACACCAACTGTTCCTCCCATGCTAACCTACATCGATGCTGGGTTCTGAACGGTCTTAATAAGCGTCCACTGTTTTACCTTTCTAGTTTCTATTATCTATTGCAATGGCTACACAGCAACTCAGAGGGAAAAAATCATGATTAAAGGGTTGATTAAGGAAATTAACTTGTTATGCAAGTGAAAAAATTGCTCAGGGTAGTTTTTGTTTTTTTAATCATTTTATTGGGGGCTCATACAACACTGATCACCATTCATCCATCCATTGTGTCAAGCACATTTGTACGTTTGTTGCCATCATCATTCTCAAAACATTTGCTTTCTACTTCAGCCCTTGGTATCTGCTCCTCATTTTTCCTCTCTCCCCACTACCCCCTCCCTCATGAACCCTTCATAATTTATAAATTATTATTATTTTGTCATGTCTTACACTGTCCAATATATCCCTTCACCCATTTTTCTGTTGTCCATCCCCAGAGAAGAGGTTATATGTGGATCCTTGTAATTGGTTCCCCCTTTCCACCTCACCGGTATTGCCACTCTCACCACTGGTCCTGAGGGGATCATCTGCCCTGGATTCCCTGTGTTTCCAGTTCCTGTCTGTAGCAGTGTACATCCTCTGGTCTAGCCAGATTTGTAAGGTAGAATTGGGATCATGATAGTGGGGGGTAGGAAGCATTTAAGAACTAGAGGAAAGTTGTATGTTTCATCGTTGCTACACTGCACTCTGACTGGTTCGTCTCCTCCCCACGACCTTTCTGTAAGGGGATATCCAGTTGCCCAAAGATGGGCTTTGGGTCCCCAATCTGCACTCCCACTCATTCACAATGATAGGACTTTTTGTTCCTTGATGTCTGATACCTGACCCCTTCGACACCTCATGATTACGCAGGCTGGTGTGCTTCTTCCATGTGGGCTTTGTTGCTTCTGAGATAGATGGCTCCTTGTTTACCTTCAAGCCTTTAAGACCCCAGATCTTTTAATAGCTGGGCACCATCAGCTTTCTTTACCACGTTTGCTTATGCACCCATTTATCTTCAGAGATCATGTCGGGAAGGTGAGCATCATAGAATGCCAGTTTAATAGAATAAAGTGTTCTTTCATTGAGGGAGTACTTGTGTAGAGGCCCGATGTCCATCTGCTACCTTAATACTAAACCTATAAATATATGGACATAGATCTATTTCCCCATCATCATAAATAAATATATTTACAT